CCTCATGGTTGCCCATAAGGCTGCATGCCAGACCCTGTCGAAGGCCTTTTTAAAATCCACAAAGATATGGTATAGGTTTTGTTGGTGTTGTAATTCTAAGGTATTGAAATAATGATACATGAAATAATGGAGATCACTTGTATAGCGTCCATTCCTTGGGGGCTCTATGCACATCACAGTAAAAAAAAATAATTTCTGCAGCTCCCGCGATGAGCCGTTTCATGCACACCTGCTTATTTAACGTACAGTATTCTGTAAATAATAGTGAGGATTACTTCCAATTTCGCCCACTCCCTGGTGGCACAATAAAATAACTTTAAAAGAGTCGACAGATTATACATTGACGCGTTTTATGCATACTGGCCTATTCAATGTAAAAAAAATAATTTCAAAATGCATGTAATATACATGTCATGTATTATAATTTGACAAATGAACGCATTCATAAACAGAAAATCATTGTGGTTGCTGATCACACTTTTGAAAAAAGAATATAACTAGTTGCACACATAATAGAATATGATACAGAATATATATAAATGTGTTTTTAGACCAATTTATGAGATACCCATAACAAATTCTTCCACTTGGAAATCGAACCACTAGTCTCCTGTGCACTACACTACGATGAATCGCCTAACCACTTCGAATTTCACTTCATAACGCCGATAAAATAAGATTTAAAAAAGACTGGACAAAAGACAGTGTAGGTGACATGAGAGGTAAGTACAACACTCATAAAATATGCCTGATCGTGATAGTGATAGTGTGTTGCGTTTGATCGCCAACCCAACAGCGTGGACGGTGCACCCCTACTGTTGGGACAGCTGACTATTAATTTAATGTCTCCCAACCTGCTCGGGACAGACTGAGTTCACAACCGTGTGGGGGTTCCGCGGGTACTCTGGTGTGTGTTTGCTTTTTCAAACATCTATCGTTCTCCTCTCTCCTCCTTTTTGTGTGTTTGTTACTCTCTTTGGCACTGACTGATATGACCTAACTGTGTTGAAAATGCTGTAAAAGGCTTACGAAAAACAAGACACAACCGAACATGAAATAGAAAATTGTACTTGTAAATGTAATCATACTTACTGACATTAAACGGTAGGTTACATTATAAACACATGTATGTCGTGCCCGTCATTCAACTCTGTTGTTTATGAAAATCAAGTAGATTTTCATGTATGTTTATAGAATTTGATAGGGCTATCGATTGATCTTAGTCTTTTTCCTTTTCCTAAAATAGTTATATGGATTTAGAGGAATTAAACATATTGTAATTATATCGACAACATTGAAATATCCGGCCCGAAATGAAACAGTAATTTTCTTATCCTGAAAATCTCGCATTTGGATATACGACAATGATAAATGAAGGCAACAATGTGATATTAAACTTTTCTCACCTCTTTCCCCATCCCACCCCTCTCTCTCTCTCTCTCTCTCTCTCTCTCTCTCTCTCTCTCTCTCTCTCTCTCTCTCTCTCTCTTGCGGGCGCTCTCTCTCTCTCTCTCTCTCTCTCTCTCTCTCTCTCTCTCTCTCTCTCTCTCTCTCTCCGTTAAACTACGGCAATCGTGTATTCTTTTCTCTTCTGTCCATTCCCCTCAGCATGAGGTTTTCCCTGGTCACTCTGTCCAGCCTCTCTTTCAGAATGCGGTTTTCTTTGTACAACTTCTCTCTGTTGCTGCCTCGGTACCTGAAAAACAAAACAAAACAAGTTGATAGTCGGCATGCCGTTCAATCCTTCTAACTTTAAGATATGTGCACCCTCAACACCCCCCCCCCCCCAACCACAACACACGCACGCACGCACGCACGCGCACACACATACACACACACACACACACACACACACTCTCTCTCTCTCTCTCTCTCTCTTTCTCTCTCTTTCACCCCCCCCCCCCCACACACACACGCACACCAACACATACGCACACACTCATACACCTACTCAATTGTAATACATGTAAATGTTTCCAAGTGTTGTCTCGTGACTCTTATGAAGTAAAATACTCTGTTGCCTCATCTCGGTAATCTATTTACGGGACATCAAAGACTATTTTAAGTTCATTCAGACAGTACTCTCAATTTTTTGAATGGGTCTTTGGCAATCTGCGCTCAATAGACATAGTAAAGAATCGCCAAAAGTGCTCATAAAAACGTTTCCAATCGTTTCTCAAAGATAGGTACGTTATTTTGTAATAATCTTTATTCATTCTTCTCTCTGTACGGAATACATGTATATGTAACTTTATTAAAATTATATCCAACAGGCAATAATAAATGATTTTTGCCCCTGGCGCTTTTGCGGACTTGATTTTTTAAAAAGATCGTAGTATCTCAGTTACATTTGTACCAGGGCCTGATGATAATATTTTCGTGTACAAAATGTGGAGTGCCGACGTTTGAATCACTGTATCACCC